ACGGCGGCACAGCGCGACGGTGGCGCGGGTTGGTCTGACAGCTCGGTGACACTGTTCATCTACTAACACTTTTGTCGGTGACATCTATACCGGAGGGTAATAAGTCGGATAATATCAAACACAATACTGCTGAGCAGGAGGGGCGGCGGACGATCAGCTGATCATGTGTCATGGCATCACGAAAGTAATTAGAGCGGGTAATATTTAACATCACATCACCACAGTGGCTGGCTCCCGTCTGCGCCGGCCGTGGTCAGGACACTGACAGCAAGCGACACCGTCCCGACACGCTGCTGCGTGAGGAATCCGATCCCGGTCAGTGTGTGACGCCCGAACAGCCTCGCCGTTATGAACGAGTGTCTGTTGGCGGTGTTAGCAGACCTTTTCAGCGGTTGCTCAAATATCACCCGTTGACTGCAGATAATAAATACAGATCGTTTATTTGCATGATTTAATGCCGATCGTCAGTGAGAGCTGCAACAGACCATTCAGTCGATATTTTTGCACGATCACCGACCACACACATATGAAAAACATTCACCGATGGCCAGATCAACACATCATTAATCATTGAGTTCTCACCGACACTGATTTTGAATTGCCGAACGGTGCCAGACATAACTTAGGGACGGTCAGGTTCTTGTTTTAATCTTTGAAAATTAATTTCCGAATAGCGTCATTACTTAGTATGTGTCACAGGCAGCGAGGGTTTCTCCGTTCGGTAATTGTGATTGACAAGCGTGAGTTGAAAAGGGGCAGAGACGCAGCCGGAGCCTCGGGCAGCACCTGCCTGCCTGCGCTTCACAACAGCCGCACGGCTACGTGATGCGCATTGGAATGTCATTTAGTAGCTGTCTCAAAGCCCTTGGGAAACGGGATCCCCCACTCCACCCTGCAGAAGGGTGAAAGAAGGCCGCATTGCGCGACGAGCGAGCCGTTGGATGCACTGCGCGGCATCACAATGGCTGCGCTGGCCGGGCGGTTCCGCCTGCCACGGCGGCGTTAGGCTGTGCCGCAGCACAAAGGTGTCCGCCGGCACAGTCTATTGTAAACCTGGCAGGCGGACAATGCGGCAGACTCGAGACGGAAGAGCCGCCGATTGTCGGTGAAGGTAAACCCGCCCTTAGTGAATGATGACGATTATTTCCGCATCCGGACGGAGCCATCTATATGTAAGTACATTCATTAATAACACGATCTACCGCCACAAGTAGGCTTTGTAACCGTTTACAGCGCCTCCCTCACCTTCTCACATCCCAGAGATACGAGCGGCGTTCATCATGGCACGGTGAAAAACTGTGTGCCTGCCGCCGCGGTCTGACATGCTCGTGCCACCGTGTCCCCGGGTCGTGCCGCGTCACGCGCCACAATCACTCATCGCGCCATAAATGTCACCCCGTCGCGGGCTCGTAGTTCCCACAGCTTTCGGTGAATGTTTCCGGGCGCGTGAGAACCTCTTTCTCTGAGTCGTATCACCGCAGCACCCTCACGTAAGGGTGCTAGGAGTTTTTACGTGAGCATTCTTTTCCGGCATCCCCATTACTCATTAGCTAGCGAAAACTATAGCAAAAAGAAAATGCCGCGGAATATTCGACTGGTAGTTAAACGCATGTTAACATGTCGGCTCCTTCCACTCAATCGTTTTTCTCCGCCGTTTCTTGGCAGTATAGAATCCATCTAAATTGTGTTTATCGTTACCAAAGCTAAAAAGCAAGGTTCATCATATGAAAAACGTATTATAATATGCATTGCTGATAAGAATCTTACCGATTTCTTTCTAGGTCGCTCTGAATACCTAATATTGAAATACGATAATCGGTCATTGTTTAGAGAATAAAGCTACCGTGAGCTCAGCCCTGACTCTGAACGCAATGCCAGCACAAGCGTGTCAGTCCGACGGACACCCTGCCAGCCCAGGGCGGTGTCCCCGATGGGAAGTCTGACTGGCAAGTGACATGAGAATGTGGAGATATTGGCCGCTGGGTGCCAAACGATCGATCCTAACACAGGCCGCCGGCTTTATTATATTGGCCGCCGGTGCCAGCTAGGCAGCTAAAGTGAGCTAAAGTGAGCTGACAGCGACTGTCCTCGGGCCGTTGTTAAATCCGTAGAACAGGGCTCTCAGTCATCGTCCTTGTCACAACGGACGGCATTTGCGACATAACGCCGGCTCTCAGACGCCAGACTGAGGTACGATTAACGATTTCTTGAACTCCTGCCAACTATGCCGTCCTGCAGTGACGGCTTATTTCATAAACCCGTGATATGCACGAGGCACGTGTATGGGTGATATTCATTCAATCATGCCGGTTCCGTAGCTATGGCTACTGCTGAGATCCGGTAGGTTTATGCAGTACGGTGGAGGGTAGAGATTGGCTACCGGCCAGGACCTCTGCCCTCCCGTAGTGCCACTGGGATAGGCACTTCGCTGAAACAGCACGTTCCAGATGAAATATCGTTCTTGTTTATAAGCAGGTGGCACAAAGATGTGTTTTTCTTTGGCTTGAAGAGTGAGAATTGACAGCTAAATCACTGTTTGGTTTACGCCAACGTTCGGTATTTGTCATTACATGACGAGTCTTTTACTAGTTCCAAGAAACATGGTTTTGCTCGACGAGAGTTCACAGATACATTACTTTGCAAAACAAATGTGTGGCAAAATAAGGCGTCAGACCTAGGCAATAGCTTACTTCAACCACAGACAATGAGCTTTAAAAAAGGCATGTGCCTTCTTGGAAAGAACCCTGCCAGAATGCACTTCGTATTAATCCTGCTTATGCATCGCTCTAATTTCGAAATATGTCGAAAAAGCATACATTTTTCATTTTCTTTGCGCGCACCTCACCGCAGCACACAGGCGGCGCTGTGACGAACTCGGCGCGCCGGTGACGTCCGCGGTGCGCCACGGTCGTCGCACCTGTCGCCGCGTTCGTCAGTGCTGCGTCAACATGGCCTGTCATAATCGGCGGCGGCGCGGGCTAATGGGTGACCTCCGGCAGTGTTTTAGCATAAACCGTCCCGGGACGCCCGCACCGGGCGTAATTGCATCGCTGGCAGCCTGAGTTATGCTCGTGCGCTATTTGGGTTAGGCTGGTATAAATTTTGAGAACATTTCCCAAAAGAAAACATTTCTATAAAGGAGTTTGTACAGTGGCTTTAAGATGGATATCGGTGGGGTAGGCTACCTGTCAAAGTCTCGAACGGTATGCACTATACATTCGCCACTAGAACGGCCCAGCGGAACGGCCACCACCGGTATGCATCGTTTTCGTCAACTGCTAGAATAACACGGGAGTTGTAATACGCGCCGAGTGATGTGATGGCCTTTCTCCGTTGCGGTCCGATCAATCTCGAACGGGTGACCAGTTCAGTGTTCCTCTGACGTCATAAAGGCGTCCGGGGCCAACCGTTTGACGTCACCGGTCCGACCGAGAGGCGACAAAGAGCGCAGAAACGGTCCGCCGACGTTTGGCAGTCGCTGCCGACGATGGAAGCGACGCTCACAATGACACCGCGATGGCGGCACCGATTTGAATTGTGGTCAGCCGGCCAAGCCGCAGCTAAAATAGCCCTAATGACGTAACTTGATCTGGAAAATGAGATGGAATTACAATTTGCAGACCAGAGACAAAGTGCAGTGTAAATAATAACCGTAATAAATCATCGTCGCCAGACTGCAGCTCGCCGCGCGTATTTACTCTGTCTTTTTATCCATGAAGCATCCACTTGTTTACATCCATCGTGTTTCACGATTCATTGGCGCTCTTTGCATTCCAATCTCCCCCTCCTACCCCCCTAAGCGTGTGCTGTTGTGTATAGAGGGAGGGGAGGGGAAGGGGGCTGCTGCAGCTCACTGGGCGCTGGCATTCAGCCACGGCGGCGGCGGCGGCGGCGGCGGCGGCGGTCCCTAATTAGTGCCCCGACTCAGCGTGATGCCTCGGCTCCCCTCTGCTCACCCGAACAATATCTCCGAGCTTCCGCGCGGGCGGTGAGAGACTCACGACTCTACCCTGTGAGAGACTCACTCTTGGTGCGACCGTCCGCGCCCACTCGTTATTCCGGCTCAGCGGAGTCCGACCGACCCTGCTCGATCCACCGAGAGCTCTCGTCGCGGCACGCACAGCGACGGCAGTGGTCTGTCAAAGGCCGCCTCTGGGAGCTATTGTGTGGCCGAGCAGCCGAGGGTGACGCTACGCCGTGGTTGTGACAATAGGTCGGCACAGGGGATGACCCCTGTCCGGCGCCCGGCTGAATGGGGAATGTGTCGAACTAATAATTTTATAATGGAGGGGTAGATGAGATAAATGAGATATGGCTTGAGTGGTGTGGGAAAATCAAGTTTTGTTTGCCCAGAGCTCTGTAGGGAAACGGTAGGCTTCAGGGACCATGATGTATATGCTGGTCTGAGTTCAGTGAACTCTGTCAAAAACAATGATTGTGTCCGTTGCCGTTATTTCATCCCACCAAAAAATTGCGCCACAAATATTCCTATCAGGCTGTTTGTAAAGCGAGTCAAGACGATGGCTGATGAAGGTTGATGGCCTTGTCGATCTGGGCTGTTTACTAGATCACAACCGGCCAAACAAGAACAACTTATCGATGAGACCTTCCCGCCTGTTTTCTATCCAGCTAAATATCAAGTGATGAGTGAACGGGCCAATTGGTCATATCTAGCAGAAGGTGGACATTGCTTCTCAACCATACAGCAATCTTTGCCAGACAGGCGCCCCTGGAACAGCCGACCTCATCTCTCATTGCATTCCTGAAAGGATTGCATCTCTTCTCTCGGGACTTCTTTCCCTCATTTATCATCCCGGACAACTATAAGCACTGATATTAATTGGAGGTGCTGTTCATTTTAAGTGCCTTGTTAATCAGCATCCGCTCAAAGCTTATGATGTCGCTTGCTTCTGCCGATCTTATTTAGAGAATGTCAGCGATACTTTCCAGAGCTGACCAAGTCTTATAAACCAGAAAATAGCGTTCGATGATCCACTGACCTTAGCCTGCTCCTGCTGCTGCTGTTGCTGATGGTCATGCTGCCGCTGCTGCTGTTGTTGATTATGCTGCTGTTGCCTCTCTCGCTGCTGATGCTCTCGCTGCTGATGCTGTTGTTGCTGCTGCTGCTCTCGCTGCTGCTGCTGCTGGCTCAGCTGAATGCTTTGCTGCACCAGACGAAGCTGCTCGATCATCTGCTGTATTCTCTGAGGCTCCATGTGCCTCTCCAGCAGCAGGGGAAGCAGGTCCGGCGAGGCACCGCTGCTGACCTCAGGAACGCTACCCTCCCTGTCAGCAGGAGAAGAGCATCAGTCAGTACAGGGGCAGCCGAGAGCGCTAGTCATTACCAATGACTTCGTTAGTATCCTACAAAGCAGATATAAATGAAAGCTTAGCCGTGCATAAGATTTACCTATCAAATACATTTTCTGTCACATTCCTTATTGTATGTCACGTTACACATGTCAAAAGCTGTTAGCCATCACGTTGACTGAAGTTCAATTGAATCACTTCCCTAGACACAGATCTCCAACCAACTGAAACAAAAGTTCATGTCCGTGCTATGTTTGACTCGACCCAGTGATAGTGACTTCCAACAAACAGACATTGCCAACGCTGGCTTCCTGGCAAAACGGCATTTCATGTTTATACTTTACTCAACCAAGCTTCAAACATGTTGATTACAACTTACAGCGGAGCCGGCGAGTCGTCCAGCACTTTGGCCGACAGCCTCTTCAGCACATCCTCCATGGTGCGGCCAGGGGTCGCCGTCCCGGTGGACTGGGTCAGAGCGGGACTGACCGCTGTGCCCTCAGGCGATTCCCGACCCCCTCCGCCATCCGGACCGGAGAACACGGAAAGATCGTACAGCTTCGAGGGAGGAGATTTCCGCTTGGCAGACATTGCGAGCTGGAAAAGGGAGAAATGGTTAGTGAAATGGTGGAGGTCCTATCCTTTCCATCTAACAAGCGCAGCTTTGATGATGGTACAGCATCTGCCTTCTGGAAAACACCAGAGGAATGGGAAGTGAGATTGTGTGAGTCCTTGTCTCCCCATCTAATGAACGTAGCATAGTGGCACAGCATTTCAATTTATGACATTCCGTCACGTCTGCCATCAATGAAGGAAATAAATGATCCTTCACACACATTCCTGGGAAGTGACGCCTCTGTAGGATGGTTACCCCTTGTCTCCCCTCGACAAAGGCGCCATTCACTCTCACCCCGTGGGAAAAACCGACTCATGCGTCAACCACATGCTGCTGGAAACAGGAATGATGAATGAAAACTGGCGGGGAAACTGTTAAATACACTTAACCCAAAAACGCAAGAGTGCGTTTTTACTAGGGACGGAATTTACCTAAAAACTGTCGCTGAACGCCAGCTATTTGGCAGTAAAATAGTCGATAGCTGTGATGTGCTAAGCCTCATTCAGGTTGATCAGGATATTGAATGGGTGCATTTACTGGGGCATTTGACAAATGGCTGGACGGTCTATAGCGAGGACCACACACGAATCGATTCTTTATGGACGTTTGTTACGGTAGGATAGTCTGCCAATTGTGAAAATGAAGCTCTAAATCATCAATTATTCTTCCAAACAAACACCTAATGTAACTTTCCCGTCATCAGAGGGGTCGAATATTTCACTGAATAGTAAACACAATAAAACTCGCATATATCTCACATCAAGCAATAAATACACATACGAGTATACCCCGTTACGTCAAATTTCATGCAGCAGAGTGACTTGTCGCGCAATAGCGTCACGCAAAAGTACCTACGAGTCTGGAAGTATAGAAGACAGCGACCTACCCACCGTCCTAACCTGAGCTACCCACCCTGCCGGGCTCGCGTGGTGGTCTTGGTTTATTTACCCCAGAGGCGGCGGTACAGCGCATTGTGCGGCTCTCTGTTCTTCCACCTCCCGTGTCTCTCTGTCTCACCAACAATACGAGCCAGACCCGGAATTAGCCGCTCCGCCGCACCGGCACAGGTGGCCGCGAGGCGAGGAGTGACGCAGCGGCGCCGTTTGTGGCGCGGCAGCGTCGTTTGTGTCGCCCGTGCGCCACGTCGGCCGCCTCACGCAGTCGACGCAAACAAACATCAAACATTGGCCCGAGAGCGGAACAGTTGGCTGTTTGTTAGCGACGATTATGGCGCCGACGTGGGTGCGCCACGTTCGCCGTAGTGAGACACAAGTGGCGCACGTTTGTGTATCTCTCTGTACGACCGGCCACACAAGCAGCCACAGACACGGCAGTTACATGCAGTCGGAATTGCACTCTGCACTAGCAGATTTTGTCTGGTCTGTTCCTCTTCAGCCACATCACAAAGGTGTGCTTTATTCGTTGAGAACCGACACTCATTTCTACTAAATGTGAACGCACAGATCCTGCTTCAACAGCTTTTTCTTGTGATCATAACATAACATAACATAACATAAAAACATGAATGACATTCCATAAGACAGATAAAAAAATCGAAACATGACAGCCGTGTGCAACTTCGATAAGCATGACTCCGCAGGTGCAACTAAGCCGTCTTTCATAAAGATCATCGCCCGCTCATTTCATCAGCCCGTGTCGGATCTGTCGGGGTCCGCTCTGCGCATGCCGCCGCCGCCCACCAAGCGCCATCTGATGCACCCCCGAGCAAAACAGACCGTCTCTCAGAGCCTCGTGGCGGCGGCGGGCGGCCGGGTGAGACGCCCCGTGGCAGGAGTGCATTCACTTCAGCCGGAAGCGCCCTCCGTGGGGCGGAGCCGCGTCATATGCGTCATGGCTCCGAGCGAACAAAGTGCCGCAAAAAGTCGCCCAAGAAGGCGGCGGTGACGGCTGACAGCTCTGATTTAACGCGCGCAGGAAGCAGTGCGAAAAATTAACGAAATCGCCTGACAGATGTTTCATCAGACCGGCCGACGAGGCGGGAGCAGCTCGAGACGGGGTGCCGCCGTCGCCGGAGCCGACGCGTCGTTGGCGAACACGATCGCGGCGCACGTGAGACAAAGAGCGGCGCGGCGCAGCGACTCGGCGTCCAGATGTGGCAGCGGCCGGCTGCGTGTGAACATCCTAACCCGAGCAGAGGCAGGAGAGGGGACGGGGGCGGCACAAGGGGTAGCCCGGCGGACCGGCGCGCTGCGAACAGCCGAGCCACGGACGCGCCGGAAGACACGTGTCAAAACCTACAACACCTCGACAAAGGACTGGCAGAAAAGCGCCGAGTGGAGAACAAGGGCACGATTTACCGTTGTTTGATTCCAGGTTAAACGAGAACAGCGGGAACTTCTCAGCATACTTGCCTGAGGAGTCCCATGACATTTAGCAGACTGTTTCCAAACCACCTCACCAGCACAAACGACAAAGAATCTCCAAAATTTCCCACATAAATCCCATCCCCGTCTCAGTATCACCGGTTGCCGGAAACAGGGGCGCGGTTGCACGCCACTGCACGCGCCCGTTGCACGCTGCGTGCCTCCGCTGCACGCCTGCGCGCCGTTCGGCGGACGGCGGATCGCTCAGCCGCCGGCGAGGCACGGTAATTGGCGCCGAGATGGCCCGTCGGTACCGACGCAGATGTGTGTCACGGCCACTTCCGGTCCGTCACCGGGCCGTTTCCGGTCCGTCAACGGTCCGTTTCCGGTCCAGTGATCGGGGACGAGATGGAACTGAACGAGGCAATTGAGCGAATGACAGGTGGTGTCTAATGATTGTGAAACACAAAAGTCCGGGATTGCATGTCTCTCGCTTTATCCCCCGAATTTAACCCGCGCCGGGCCGGTGCTCTGAGATTCCGCGCCGGGCCGCGGGGGGGTGTTTGAACACCCCCCCCCCCCCTTCTAACTCGGCTCCTGGGCCACGTAGCGACACGCGGTAAGCGGCAATCGAAAGAACGTCAAAAATAAGGACGAAAACACTTCGGTCATTTTTTGGGTCAGGTCAAAGGTCAGGTCACAGAGGTCACCAAAGGTAAAATGTTGACTATTTCAACATTTTGGAAACTGCCAACGGCTATCTCGGGAACCGATAGAGCTACAGCGCCGCAAAAAAGCGCATTCGATAGCCCTTTTACAGACCTTTCTGAGTAATGGTCTCAGATTTGACCTCAGGTCAACAGTTTAGCCTCCAGAGGGCAAAAACTCCAAAAAATAGCCGTTTTTACGAAAATCGGTTTTTCGGCAATAACTTTTGACTCAAAAGAGCTATGACATTACTTTTACCAGCATCGTGTTCCTCTCGTCGAGACGCGTCGAATGAACTATAATTTGACCTTGAAAGGTCAACTTGAAAATTTGACCTCAGGTCAAGGTCATGACCTGACCGGAAAAGGTCATGTTGCATATCAGTCGATCCGCAACGTCGAGCCGAACACATCTAAGGCGTTTTCAGCGCTCTAGCGCTCCTCTATCAGAAGTTATCATCGAAAAACTGTTCGATTCTGTTCGTGACCTGAGATGACCTCGGGGACATAACGAGGGGTCACAGTTGCCATTTTCTGGTTCAGTGTGTCTATTTTACCTACATCTCGATGTTTGAGAGTGTCTAGAATAGCGTTCGTGCAAAACAGACGCTTTTCAATTTTTTCCCATTGACTTATAATGGAGAGGCCGCAAAATTGACCTGACCTTAGGTCACCGATATCAAAATTCCGAGATATACATTTTATAGATAGTGTTGCTCTAATCAATCGCTGACAGTTTCAAGGCAATCGTTCAGTCGGTGTAGCTATGACGAGCATTCTTATTTTTTCTGAGGTGAGGTCACTTGGCGTGACCTGGTGACCTGACCTAAGGTGACCTGGGTCTGAAATTGTCACAACATGTGCGGAAAAGATGCACGAACAGGTGTGCCAAAAACGGCGGCGCTCCGCGCCGCCGTTTTTGAGATATCTGCGAAAAACCGCAAGGGGGGGTGTTCAAACACCCCCCCCCCCGGCCCGGCGCGGGTTAATGGTTTGCAATTTCCATTTTCGGAGAATATTAAATAACTGGCTGTCCGTCATAACAAAAATATTCTAGGAATAAATGACATCACTTATTGACAGATGAATGCGTATAAATGTAAGTACATACGAGCTCGAGATGTAAAGAAATATTTCCTGCTGCTGGGAGCTGGTGTTTCGTATCATAGGACAAAAATATTCTAGGACATTCACCCATTGCGCAGTGCGATTTGAGTACGATTTTTACTATTCACTGTTGATTTGTGATATCCTAGATAGCGCAGGCATTTTAATGAGAGATTCCATGATAGAGGTCGTGACCGCTTTCTTGACTATCTCTTCCAAATAAATCCGTCTAATCTGAGCGATTGATAAAGAAAACAGGTGGTGTTTAACAACCCAATAATCATCTCCGTCAAACCGCCTACGTCAGCGGGCGTCCCGCCCCACACAGAGGTGTCTGTACCCGATGTTTAAAGGCGCCGGCGTGAAGCGCATTTAGGCCGGCCGGCTCTGAATGTATATCATTGTCGGCCGGCCGGCAAACAGACCCGCTGTCACTGACAAAGGCAACGATAATAAATAGGCTGCCTGTTTCTGCTCACTCAGTCATCCCGCATGGCCGGGAACTCAAAGGCTTGTCGCGTCCTGTGTTTATGTCGAGGGGACTGGCGCCGCTCAGCGCCCCCAGTAATTATACATTATCTTATCTGCAGCGTTGCACAGCCAATATCATGAAATGGGAGCAGTCCGTCAGGCTGAACCGTCCCAGACATTGTCCAGTGTCGGCAGAGGGTGGCCCTGGGGAGGCGGCGGCTAGCGCGGCCGGCCCGCTTCGCCCGACAACCCAAACAATGTCGGAGCGGTCACTGAGCGCCGTCGGCCGTCGCCCACCGCCCGGGTAAACAATAGGACACCGTTCTGTGCAGCGCGGCCCCTGCAGACGGACCCCTGGGGAGGCGGCCCGGC